GTGCTACCGCTGGTTTAATAGTTCTTCTTTGTTTAATCCCCTGTTTAATTTGGCTGATCACCAATATAGTTCAAGGCAATGCAAATGCCTACAGACCTGAAATTGGCTACATCTGGAATGGCAAAAACAACAACAAAAAAATCATGGTATTAAGAAAACAAAATAATGTGAAAGATCCATTGGAAGAAGCTGAATTAATTTGTGCAAAAAATGAATGAGTGCTAGAAGCTAAAAAACAAGAATTATTGCTCAAGCCAAATGATTTATAAAAAAAGAAGAGGAGGGGTTTGTTATAAATTTGTATTGTGATATTGGCTTTCGCAGATGAATCTTATATGTTAAATACTTTTTAGCTATGTATGTACTTTTTTCTTGCTAACAAGTCTTAAGCTTAAAAGAATTTCCTAGGTACAAGGCAAGGAAACCCCAGAGGGCAAGGACAGTGAAGCCCAAGCTGCTTATCAGGAGAACAATAGAGCCCAAACTGTTATCAGCAGAAGATATGAAGCCCAGCTGCCCTCAAAAGGAAGGATGAGAGGCCCAGATGGTTATCAACAAGTGACCATTTGCAAAAGAAAGGAAACCAAACTTCAAATAATGCTGACCAGCTAGAATAATGATGACCAGCAAAAAATATGCTGACCAGCAGAAAATAAAAAATCGAAGAAGGCGGAACCAGGGAGGGGACATGTTTGAATATGCATAAAATCCTCAAAGCAAGAGGGGATAAAAAGAGTGTTCCCAAGATACCAGGTGTGTTTCTGGCAAGCCGCCAGGGCACCCGGCCGTTTTAACCCTTTGCTTTATTTCTTTTGTCTCCTAATTGTCTTTTGTTTATATTAAATTATTTTTATAATTTATTAAGTGAATCTCGTTTTTAAGAACAGAGAGTTTCAATGTGGGGAAGGCACTTGGTACAACCAGGGTGGGAGCTCTGCAAACAACCAGAATAAAGTCTGCGACTGATACAATTTCCCTGTAATCTCAAAGTCAGCTCTGAGGTCTACAATGAAAGGACATGAAGGAAATTAGGTGAGGTTGGACAGCTTCAGAATTCCACTGGGAAGATGAAGGAACATTTTATATTGAAATATGCAGAATTGCCTTGTGCTGATATTAATGATTAAGGTGTTTGGAGATGAATGCTCTATATACTGGGGAGGCCACCTGAACTAAATAGGACCCAGTCCCAAGCAATGCAGACTTCTAAGGTCCTAAATCGGTGTTTTGTAAACATGTTGATTAGTAACTGAAAGAAATATTTATTTTAAAAAATGAAAACCAGAAGGGAAAGGCAATATTGACAGAAAGATCATAAATCATGGAAACTCTATTATGAATCAAAACAATAGATGCAACATAAACAACAGCATCTTTTATAAACAGAAATTAGATTGTTCTGTTTTACTCACTGGAAAGGCTAATATGCCTAAAACAATTTTCCCTGAATCTCTCATTAATGCTTTATGGTCAGCATCAACCAGCTGTTACAAAAAACAAAATGTGGATGATTTATATCCCAGAAGAGTCACTAACCCCAAACCACATTTTCCGGATGGGCTTTTTTGATCAGGTTTTTTGATCTTATTGGTGTGAATCCAACTTCACTCTTTCAGTAGTACCTGAAAACATTAATAACTACAAACACTTCCCCGACTATATTTTCTCACAGCAGAAGAAGCAAAGTGCACGTGATTCATACATCAGTGATTTCTTGCTCTTGTTCACTTTCTTTCTCTCTTTATTAGCAGGCTAATACTGACTTGCATGAGTCACCAATTATCACCTTAAGTGCCAGACAGGAACTAAATTATCACAGTGATCTCTCCACAAAGCAGGCATCACATCACGTTTGCTGGGGCCCAAATACCTCAGACTTGAAACAGGAAATTACTCTGTCCTCCCCATTTCATGGTATGAAGAACTAGAGTTTCTGGGATGGAGGAACTTGTCCAGCTCAAAAACTCTTTGGGCTTGCACTAATCTGTCTTTTACAGCAACAGATAAGCTACAGTTTATCAATCTATGTGTCACATAGAGGCAAGACAGAGTTGTCTGCCTTTCCTCACTGACAATGGGAAAAGCAGGATGGCCGGGTCATGGTTATACTTCCGTGTCTGATCACGTGCAGGGGAGAAGATCAGCTCCTGCTTTAGTCTTTGCACGGTGTGTATTGTTACTGGCAACCCTCTCATTCTGGAGCTCTGGCACATGAAGAAACAAAACTCAATTGAACAGCATTTACACAGCTGCCTCTAGATTCTCACTATCATCACAAAAACCTGATTATTTACAGGGAGTTGTTACAGCCTACTATTAATCCTCTGGATAATGAACAAATAAATTCTGCACCAGCTCTTGCCTAACTTTCCTGGAGTTTTTCCCTGGTGTAATAGCAATCAGTTCAATGGTGAAACCTCTGACTGATAGCACAGTGAAAGCATGCCATCATACATGAAATTAATGAACAAGGTTCTTCCTAACCATCTCTAAATACATCCTGAAGGGAATGTTTCTTTTTAATATACTTTTAAATGTTCTGTCCCTGTTTTTAGCAGGCAAATCAAAACCTGGCAACTTCCCCATGTCTGACATGGTCCTGCAGTGTTATTTCTGCCGAATCATGTGGCAAAAGCTGTGCTAATCTCAGCTCTTTCCATCCTGTCCTGCTTGAAACCAACCTTTCACTAACTCCTTTGTGCCTAATTACACAGTCAGGGTGGAGGTGGCTTCTCAAATGATGGATGGAAGTACCAATGAGAAGCAATGGAAAAATTTGGAATGACGTGTATCTTCAGATCATGGTTTCTCTTTTGTGAATAATCAAAAAAGATTTAAAATACTAATGCTGTTTTGGACTTCATAACCTTTACTCATTCAAAACCCATGCAAATAATCACGTATTAATAAAATGGCATTTTCTGCACAAAATTTTAATTGAATACGTCATCCTTCCCTTTCTCTCTCTATTGATGCATGCTCATCTTTCTAACCTTTTCTATGAGTTTTTTGAAAAATAAAGCAACAGAGTTTAAATGTCATTTCTCCAAAGGTACATGGTCAGTACTTGGAAATGGGTATGCACTAAATTAATCATAGAATACATAACATCAGATGACTTAGGTAACAAATCATGACAAGCACAGCAAATGGTGAAAAAAACACTTCATTTGAATTCCCACAAAATGCCACCATCATCCCTTCATAAACAGTTTCTCTCAAGCAAAGGTGAGCTCACAAATTAAACCCTTCTTTTTATTTCAAATCTTACAAATGCTATATTACAGTCAGTTCCTCTAAATGGCTCTGGTCTAAATAAGATAAGCCTCTGTCCCATTCAGATCATAGCAAATGAGAGGATTTGAACATAAGACTCTTTGCCTGAGGCTATTTCACTATGCCACACTTCAATGGGACATTGGCATTCTTACTACTAAAAACATTGAAACAAGACATTTCCAATAATCTTCTAATCCCACCTCAGAAAACAGAAAGCTCACAGGTGTTTTCTAACCTTACTTCCTATGAAAGAACATTCTCATTATATGAAGAGTGAGGTTAATTGAGGTATTACCTTGGCAGGTCCTTTCATCTGTGAGCAGTTTATAGCCTTTCTGGCAGCTGCACTCAAAGCTGCCAACGGTGTTTCGGCAGAAATGATCACAGCCACCATTGTTTACCAAACACTCATCAATATCTGCGAAGAATGAACAGCAAAGATTTGGTTTGTGACAGCAAAATTTTAGTCTGTGACAGCAATTCAGTCATTCAGGGCAGGAACACAGGAATATACTCAGATCCCCAAGGAGGCTGCTATCCCTGTCAGGAACCAGGCTGGTCAGATGTGTCCCTTCCCAGACCTATCTCACAAGGCTTTCAAGGAGAGCTATGGGCTGAGCTGTTCAGGAGACAGAGGTGTTTCTCTCAGAACTGGAACCAACAGATGACCCAAGGTGAGGTACTTTGGTGTTAGGGAACATTCAGGGAAGCTTCTCTGTGGATGGAGTGCTCTGCCTGACATCAGACTTCAACCTGTGAAGGATGTGAATAGTTTTACCTTGTACAGAAACTATCAAAACATAAGAAAACATAAAAAATTGAAGTAATACCAAACACGAAGTAAAAGATACTTGAGTTCTGAAGAAGTACTTCTATCATCCTTACACAAACAAATGCAAGGATACGTTTTTTTCAGAATGAGCATTATATGGTATTTTGCTCATTATTCAGTGACGCTGTGACGGAGTGTCACCCATTATCTTGTATCAAACTTTATTACTTGGTGTAGCAGAAAAGGAACTGTCAGTGCATGTGAAATGTTGTTTATTCAGTTATTCTGAAGACAGAGCACCCATTGCCTTTATTTGAAAGCCATATAAATATATGTGTGTATATATTTATATATTTGTGCTTTGTGTGAAGCTAGCTCAAATCTTTGTGTCTCGGGTAACAAAGTTCTCAAAGTGCCCCAAAATCAGGAGTCTGTTTGTTGTCTGTGGTGATCCAGTTCTGGCATTTGGCTGGCCAACAACAGATAACCCTGAGCTCCCAACCTGACAGATCTGGTGAAGAACACCCTGAGGGTCACTCTACGTAACACCATGGGACTGGAGGTAGCAACCCTTTTGGTTTCAGCTGTGATCATCTGCATAGGTCAAGACTGGCAATGAAAAGACAAGAATTTTTGGCCCAATTCCTGCAGCCTGGCATTTCCTTTTGTAGAAGTGACTCCTCCCAGCTCCCTAATGTGCAAGTGGGACTGTGGTGTGGATGTTAGGATGGATTGCCATGAAAGGTCCTACCCTTTTGCCACAGCACAGTTGTACCTAACTACAGTTTAGCTTGCCCTGACAAAACTGTGGGATAAAAGGAATTCTGAATTAAAATTACTAACACATTATGCATTGTAAACACACAGAACAGTCATCCATCATGAAGAAAGTATATTTTACCTGCGATAAGAACAACATGACCTTTGGGCTACTCTGCTGCCTGAGACTGCTTGAAGTGGAAATTACTTGCAGCCTGTCAAACATCATTCTGGAGTTACAATTGATGTTTTAAATGATGGCCCCTAGATTTCACATGTTAAATTCCAAATTCCAATCTCTTTTCTGTGTCTCTCATGACCATAAGGGTCAGAAATGAAACCCTGCTGGCATCAGACTATAGATTTTAGGCTGTTAATAACTGTAATTCCACTGAAAATGCAGCATATTAGCTTTACACCAGCAGTTCTTTAGAATAATTCTGAACCAGGATCTGGGTTAAACCTGTGAGAGTCCACAGGAAAAGAAAGTATTTATTCATTTCTTCAAACTGGAAAACATGACATGACCTTTTGAAACAGGGACCACGAAAACAGAATAGAGGTCAAAACTGTTAGCTGCAAAAACATTCTAAATAACATAAACAGTGCCAATGTCTCTGCTTTCACTGTATTTCTTTTCATGGCCATAGCGAGACTGACAAGGCATGTAAAAATTATTTCACTCTGTGGAGAGCAGCATATTGCTACATTTCACTTGGAAGAGAGCAGTATCCAACTGTATGTTTGTCTAACTGGTTCAGATAAATTGCAAAAAGTCTGTATCCCCACTATTTTTCTTTCCTTGGCTATAAATAATTTGTGTTATGAGCCATGTGAAAATAAATTATTCCACTGCGTAAAAAGGTTAAGGACCCATTTATCTTTAAACTCACTGGTACCCAACTTCGGATTGAGCACTGAAGTGCCTCTTTGAACTTCACAGAGGTAAGCATGTCTGCCTCTCATGTAGGGCAAAAATACACAGTGGAAACCCATTGTGGCATCTCTACCAGCTTTGACATTTAGTCAAGTATTCCCCTACAGTTATTGGGACTGTCTGAGGAGCAGTCATAAACCTGCTGTCTTCAAACAGCTCTCAAGTGGCTCCTTAAAAGGCAGGTTGCAGAAAAATAGCTCCAACTTCTCACAGGCTCTGCTTCCCTTTATCCTCAGAAATGCAAAAGGATGTAAAGAACTGTATTTCCTCCACAGGGGTTGTACATAAAATGCCCTGATGATACTGTAAGAGTCATTCCAGACTGGGAGGTTGGATGGGCTTTCACTGTATTGGGAATAAAGTCCCAAGGGATTTCTCCCAGTGCAGTAAGTCAATAATGTCAAATGATACCTTGCTCATACAGCTGATGATCTGCTACAAAATACCAAAATGCAGATATGAAAATACAGACCTGTGAGAAACCACAGAGCATTGAAAATTATGGTCAAAACTGTCAGGTGAAAGTATGGTGTTACAAGCAACTCAGCACTCAAGCCTCCTGTTAGCTCTGAAAATGGTTCATTCAATTCCCAAGCAATTAAATACAAACAAAAGCAAAGATAAGATTTGCAACAAGGAAGCTAACACCTTCTTTAAAGTTGTAATATTTGAAGGAAAAAACCCCAATTGCAAATATTTGTCTGGAGATGGAGCTCAGCAAGACCATCACAAAAGCTGTGCATCCATGTGAACCCAGAAACAAACCCATGGTTTGTAAATCTAATCTAATATATCATATCATATCATACAATATAATATAATATAATATAATATAATATAATATAATATAATATAATATAATATAATATAATATAATATAATATAATATCATATCATATCATATCATATCATATCATATCATATCATATCATATCATATCATATCTATCATATCATATCACAATTACGATCTGTATAATAATAGATTATTCTATTTTTTCTGAAGATCTCAAAATGTGAGGGAGGCAGTGGAATCATCTTTAAATAGATTTTTCAGTTTTAAATAAAAGTGTAGAAACTCAGTTTGTGCTAAGTTGCATAGCTACAGTTTTACTCGGCTAAGCAGGCAGATTGTTATTTTTCTTTTAATGATCTTGTGAAGATTGATGGGAATGCATGCTCCTGTTCCACTTGCAGTTTTTTAACCTCTACTCAGTGCAATTCATGTTTGGATGGAACTAGTTCTGATCAGGGTCCATGTATGCACTTGTCTGTGCACAGATAAACCCACAGAGATTTGCCTTGCTTACAAACCAGGGAACAAATTAAAAAGTATGGATTTTAGGTAACTTAGAACTTAATGTTTCACATGAGCTGCTTAAAGGCAACTGAAAGGGTAATCAACATGCAATCTGCACTTAGATGTTGAACAATGACGGAGATGGAGATTTCCAAAGCCTCATCACGGGCGGAAGTGAGGATCCTCCTTTCAATGGCTGGACAAATATTTGAACTGATTGTGTCAGTCTAATCCTTTGCAGATTTAAAATGCTACCTAGCTCCAGGAAAATAATATACTCCCAGATCAACTTAAAATAATTACTGAAACTTCATAACACTCTTATTTTTAATAATGAAAGCCAGGGTGTTGAAATTAGTAATGTTTATACCAGTATACAGTGGACATCAATATAATCATATTTTCTGAAAGGATGGCTGGTTTGCTAGTTCTTTTTATTCCCTGATTTCCTAATTTTCCCCTGCTTTTCTTCCCTTGCTCTTTCTCATTGTTTTACAAATCACCACTGTCTCCTAAAAATTTGAACTAGTGTTGCCTTGTTGACACAGGTATTAGTTCCCTGATGTGCACAGACCAAAAAGTACTTTATAAAGCAGCGACAAAACTTTTTTACCCCATGCTGGAGGTGGGGAAAGAGAGGGATAGAAAAAATAACTAACTCATCCACACTTGAATCCAAGCTCAGTGTACAACTCAGCAGGTTACCCTGGGGTGCCAATCAGCACAGGCTTGCACATAACACCTTGTACTGCACACTGTTCTATGTTACAAATATTACAGACCCACCAATGCTCACACTGAATTATTTTGATATTTGCCTGACACTTCTCAACAAAACTTGTAAACTCAGGATTAACATAATCAGAAGCTACCAGGCTCCACTTGCAATACTTTAAATGTAATATTGCATAGCATCTTAAATAACGCATACCAGGAATATCTCATTAAGGTAGAAAGATAATTTCCTATCCCCAGATTCACTGGATCAGTGCCACTATGAGAAAATCTAAATCAAAGCAGAACACAGGCTCTGCTGTTCCATCCAGAAGTATCAAGCCAGCTGTTGTGTGGTTTGTTTCCAGGGAGCTGTAAGTTTCAGTAGCTGCAGTTCCAGTTTTACAATGGATTTATCCAACATTTGGGAAAGGTGTAACACTTTCCTGCTTTACTTCATTTGTAAAATTGGGGATTGGTAGTTATCACTTGGTATTTTCAGGATCAATACTTTAAAATGCACTATTATGGAATAAGGTGTTATGAATCCAAGTCATTTGCTGTCAAAATTTTTAAGTCAAATCACAGTAGTTTAAATTTCTGGTCTGGGCTTCAGAATGGTTTGATCCAGCAGCAGGTTCCATGCCAGCAGTGCTTCGCACTGGAAGATTTTGTGAATGTCTGCAGGACAGTTAGGGCCATGTTTACTTTAAGAAGCACAATTGCTGTTCCACCACTCCACCTGAAACTTCACAGTTCATTGCCTCTTGCATATTTCAGAGAGGAATAATTCTACTTATGCAGTACCTTCTACTTGAGGATTTCAAAGGCCAGCATATTATTATCTTCATTTGATAATAATAAAGATTATTATTATTATGAGGCAGGTAGGATAGTGTGCAACTTGCCTGCATCAGATAGCTGCAAAATTAAATAA